CCATCTCTCTGATCTGCTACAACCGTATGTCCCACCACGCTCCCTGAGGTCAGTGGACCAGTTGCTCCTCACAGTTCCAGGAACTCGTCTTAAGGGCAGAGGTGACAGGGCCTTCTCTGTAACAGGACCAAGACTTTGGAATGAGTTACCTCTGCTTGTCAGACAGGCCCCCTCCCTCTCGGTTTTCAAGTCCCGTTTAAAAACTCACTACTATTCAGTAGCTTTCAACACCAGATGATCTGTGTTTTGATCCTGTATGCTCCACACTGGTTTGTCGTCATTATCTGCATCGTTTTTATGTCTATATTCTGATTTACCTCATTTTGTATTTTGCTTTGTGAGTTGCCTGTTGTTCTGTCTGTTGTTGAAAGGTACGAACACCTTTCTCCAGGTTGTTTGGATCGAGCCCGTATCACCAGGAGACTTCACCTTAGTTTAAGAGTTTTAATACACACCACAGTTAAAAGTATTACAAAAACAAAGTCCTGAAATGCATTTCAGGAGACAATAGAGGCGTACTTCACCTGAGAAGTTGCTCTGCTCAAGATTGTCTGCGCTACTTCCTGTTTTAGGATAATATAATCTCTGAACCCGCCTCCCTCCCGAGGGGGATGTTCTCCTATTGGCTGACCACCTAGTCAATCTAAGGTTACCTTGGCAACCACGCAGTCATATTTTTTATCTTTCAAGGAAAAACTAGTTTTAACTGGCTTTTGGTGCCAGTCTCGAAAGATACTTTTCTTAGTTCTGTCTACAGAAAAACGATTGGGCCCCTGCTTCCTGCTCAGTGCTGCATCTATGAAAACAAGTTTTCCACCTCTGCGTGATAAAGTATGTGTGAACAGTTCATAACGCACACAGATATGGTGTGAATAAAGTCAAAAATATAAAGCTATGCAAAAAGTGAACACCGTGTATAAAAAGTGCAGTGACCAACACAACCAGCCCGTGTATTCATCATTGTGCAGCACTTTGGTTGGCCTTATCAAGTGCTCCACAAATTAAATGTGTTTCTGTTCAGCGCCCTGAGATACATTTAGTTGTGACTTGGTGCTTTATACAAACAGACTGAAGTGAATGTAGTAGTTTCTGGATCTGCAGCTCGGTGTGGATCTGTGTGTTGACCTCTGAACACATCAACAGCTTCGGGGGAATGGAAGTAGCTGCAGGATGAATCCACTCACTTGTCTTTTAGCTCTGACGAAGCGTCCATGTCCTTGAACTCTCCAGCGATGTGGACGATCCCGTAACACGTCATCACAAACGAAAACAGGGTCTGCAACACAATCTGGACCGGCAGAAAACACAATGAGAACAAACGAGAACATGGGCGTCTTAGAGACTCAAGAGTGAGGATGCTCACGTCGATGGGTAGCGTTTCATGCTCCTTCTCTGTGAGTCGCATGTAAGATCGATCTGAGGACAAAGTTGGAATGTATTAGCAAAGACGCAGCTTCATTACTGCGGAATAACAAAGCTATCACAACTGACAACACAGAAAGTGACGTGTAACGATCAGTAAGGGACGTCTGAGACTTTTCCTCCATCACAAACGGACTCGAAGCGGCGCTAAGCTGCCCAGCATTGTGCTAGCTTAGCTAGGAGCGACGAGCCCGGCCTTCCGCTTGCTCCACCAGCTCCGTGGAAACTCACACCGACCAGAACAAAGCAACACATCAAAACAAAAGTCCCCACGCTTCCCGCTAAAACTCACGCTGTGCCGCCGAGAAAGCTGCGTGGGCTAAGGCAAAAAGTCCGACACCGACAACACCTCTCCAAAACGACGAAGCCATATCGAACCAGTGCGTAGAGAGGAACAGCGGGCAGCGTCGTAAAGCAGTGTCGTAAACTGCCGCAAATAGGACCGCGTCACAACTTAATACAAACTTAATTAAATTGCCTACATTTATTTATATTGAATAAATCTTTTGTGTTAATACTCTAATGTGGATTAAATAATCTGTGTACCTAATTTATAAAATGTCACCAGATATCGCTCAGAAAGGCTAATGCAGCATTCGGAACCCTCGTAACATAGTTCCGCTTAACTGAACGGTCTTGGAACTGCTTTAAATTTTCTGTTTTTTTTTTTCTTTCTAAAAAATAAGTACTCGTACATTTGTGCATAACATGAAAAATAATGACGCTAAATTGAAATTTTAACATATTTTCTTAGACTTGACCTATTTGTGAATGGAGAAATTTCCGACTCCGTCGTGTTCCGTGAATCCAACATAACATCCGGTCTATGTGCTCCTTTTTCCTGTCAGCTAATGCGGAGTTGTGATGTTGTGTAGTTAAACCACGGCTCAGGTTCATTTCTTTAACTTACAGAACTGCTTAGGAAATATTTAACAAATATGGCAGACGCAATTCAAAAGAAACTAAAAGCGGAATTAGAAAAATATACACAGCTGCAGAAAGGTGGGGTTCTGTCGATGTACCATGTTGTTTTAAGCTAACTAAGCTAGGTTATATAGACATTCATAAAATGATTATTTACGTCGTTTGGTTTGCATTTCACCTAATACTGTTATAAAAATCTGCATTTGAATCTTTGCAAAATATAATATTTACTAATTTCTTGCTAATTATTTTTAGATGTTAGTAAAAGCATGTCGTCCAGACAGAAGCTAGAAACGCAGCTGACTGAGAACAACATTGTCAGAGAGGTAACTTGGCTTATCATCTTATACACAGAAAAGACATCTTCCATGTTTTCTTCGAATCATTACAAAACTATCTTCTTGTCTTTCAGGAGCTCGATCTGTTGGAAAGCTCGAACACGGTTTATAAACTTATTGGTCCAGTTTTAGTGAAACAAGATTTGGATGAGGCCAAAGCTACTGTTGGAAAACGACTGGAGTACATCACGGGAGAACTGTAAGCTTCTGTCCTCAGCTCATCACCTGCAGGGCCAGCACTACACAACTTTACAAGAACATCTACGAAACGTAGCCTTCCCTGAAGAACTTCTTGTTGCCTGCTGCCTTGAGTCTCAAAGATTTTAAGAATAATGGTGCGCTGTCGGTCAGGACGACCCAGTTACTGTCGCCCCAAAGTTCAATATTCAACAGATTGGTTGATTAACTCTGTATTTAGTAAAAACATGCATATATATATATATATATATATATATATATATATATTTTTTTTTTTTTACATCCACTAAAACACTTAGTTAAAAAAAGGGAAGTGAAAACACTTATTTCCATTGTGGTCCAAAAACATGATCAAAAATCTGGATTGAAACGTGGTGCAGAAAAATAAAATGTACAATTACAGCTAAATACCACAATACAACTTTTCATTCAACCTTTGTTTCTACACGTTAGTCTCGTTGAGTCACGAGGACTCATTTACAAGAGAGACCTGTTTTAAATAAAACCACAGACGAGGTACACAACAATAAACAGCCATAACATGCATATGAAATGTAAGTACAAGTATAAAAGCTACATTATGAAACGGGGTAAAATACTAAAAGCAGGAACACGTCTGTGTTGATTTTCATTGAACTTAACAAATGATCACGTGGAGCAGCTTTAACAATTTATACAATGAGAATATAAGAACAAAGTTGTAAGACTGAAATAACAAAGCAAAGCAGAGGAACTAAACTTGTAATTTAAGACATGATAAAAGGATGCAGACTTTCATCACCAAGGTAGCTGAGTAAAAGGAACTTTTAAGACTTTGGATTTTATGAGATAAAACTTTGCCATTAACTATTTTGGCTGTTCATAACAAACATGTTGGAGCAGAGAGGAGTGCAAAGAGCTGCAAACGATCGATACCTGGTGGTGAGCCAGGTCCAGCTGCTGGCCACATCTGGTCAACTCGAGCACAGTGAAGAAACGCTTTGGCGTCCCCCCCGGGGGAGCTAGAGAGTGCCACTGGGGAGAGGGATGTCTGGTTTTCTCTAGTGGAACTGTTGTCTCTGCAACCCCACCACAAGTAACATGGAGAAGGAAGTGCAGACTACTTGGTGACAACGCTGTTACTGAACACAAACAGATCTCACAAGATCTCCCTATATCAAGTGAGATCACGCCTGGTGTTACTTTCAAGGTTTGACCAAAACAGCTGGAACTTCCATCATTTGACAACAAAGTTTTTAGTTTAAAACTCCAACAAGAGGCGAGCGAGTTGCATTTCTTCATGAAGTGCTACGTCTCATTTCTGTGTAGAACATTCAGACACGTTCAGAAAATAAGCCCTCAGGTTTTCATTTTGTGATTCTGACTGTTTTTCTGTCCTCCTGTCAGTCAAAGGTATGAGGCGCTCCTGAAAGACATGGAGAAGAAATCTGAGCAGCATCGAGAGGTCCTGACCAGCCTTCAGCAGGACTTTCAGAAAGCTCAAGGCCTCGCTGGGGCCAAATGATCGTCACTTTCACACACAGCAGAGCGGAGATGAAGACACGTAAAGACACGACACGCTGCGCCCGGGCAGTCTCATGACTGTGACTCTTCTCTTCTTGATAATAAACATGGTGTTTTGCTTGAAATCATGTTTGGGTTTTTTAAGGTCCTGGATAAACGAAAGACAGAAGGTCGGCAGCAGCACGTTTGTTTTCATTGAACATTAGTTTTTAATTGGAGGCGCAGGCTGGTCCCAACTGCACCAGATGTTCCCCCCTCACCTCGCAGGAGGGGGGAAGGCAGTTTACCTCGTTTACAAAGAAAGGGCTTTTTTCTGCCATGTAAACAAAATGTGGCTCTTTTTGTTCCCTCTACAGTTCTAGCCCTTGAAGGTAAGCATACTGCCCAGAGTTGAGCTGAACTAATTTAATGGTAGGAAATGAGAAGGCACCGTTTTGCCTCGTACATGATCCTGTGACGTGTCGAGGCTGGGCCTCAGCAAGTTGTAGCTGAAAAACTGACCGAGTTCATGTTTGCTAAGGTTGCTTTGCTGTGGTGGCCATCTTGAAAGTGATCAACTCCACAAGTTAACCAGTTTTATATGTTAATTTATCAATTGCTCAAAGTTTCATTAGAATCCAGTGTTTCATAAAGATATTTTGCTAACAGACAAACATGATTGACACTAACAGTTAATGGGTTTTTAACCTAGATCTTGCACAAGTGGCACTAGGGATTACTCTCAGCTACTACCACAACTAATGCTCAGTATCCACTAAACTGATAAATACATTTATTTACAATAAGCTACAGTGGGGAGAACAAGTATTTGATAGACTGTTGATTTTTCAGGTTTTCCCACTTGCAAAGTTTGTAGATGACTGTAATTTTTATCATAGGTACTCTTCAACTGTGAGTGATGGAATCTAAAACAAAAATCCAGAAAAATACAATGTATGATTTTTAAATAATTAATTTCCATTTTATTGTGTGAAATAAGTATTTGATCATCTATCAACCAGTAAGAATTTTGGCTCTCACAGACATGTTAGTTCTTCTTTAAGAAGCCCTCCTGTTCTCCACTCATTACCTGTATTAACTGCACCTGTTTGGACTTGTGACCTGTATAAAAGACACCTGTCCACACACTCAATCAATCAGACTCCAGCATCTCCACAATGCCCAAGACCAGAGAGCTGTGTAAGGACATCAGGGATAAAATTGTAGACCTGCACAAGGCTGGGATGGGCTACAGGACAATAGGCAAGCAGCTTGGTGAGAAGGCAACAACAGTTGGTGCAATTATTAGAAAATGGAAGAAATACAAAATAACGGAAAATCTCCCTCGGTCTGGGGCGCCATGCAAGATCTCACCTCGTGGAGCATCATTGATCTTGAAGAAGGTGAGGAATGAGCCCAGAACTACACGGCAGGACCTGGTCAATGACCTGAATAGAGCTGGGACCACAGTCTCAAAGAAAACAATCAGTAACACTCTACGCCGTCAAGGATTAAAATCCTGCAGTGCACGCGAGGTGCCCGTCCTCAAGCCAACGCATGTCAAAGCCCGTCTGAAGTTTGCAAATGACCATCTGAATGATCCAGAGGAGGAATGGGAGAAGGTCATGTGGTCTGATGAGACAAAAATAGAACTTTTTGGTTTAAACTCCACTCGTCATGTTTGGAGGAAGAAGAATGATGAGTACAACCCCAAGAACACCATCCCAACCGTGAAGCATGGCGGTGGAAACATCATTCTTTGGGGATGCTTTTCTGCAAAGGGGACAGGACGACTGCACCATAATGTGGGAAGGATGGATGGGGCCATGTATCGTGAGATTTTGGCCAACAACCTCCTTCCCTCAGTAAGAGCACTGAAGATGGGTCGTGGCTGGGTCTTCCAGCATGATAACGACCCAAAACACACAGCCAGGGCAACTAAAGAGTGGCTCCGTAGGAAACATCTTAAGGTCCTGGAGTGGCCTAGCCAGTCTCCAGACCTGAATCCCATAGAAAATCTTTGGAGGGAGCTTAAAGTCCGTGTGGCCCAGCGACAGCCCCGAAACCTGAAGGCTCTGGAGGAGATCTGTATGGAGGAGTGGGCCAAAATCCCTGCTGCAGTGTGTGCAAACCTGGTCAAGAACTACAGGAAACGTCTGATCTCTGTAACTGCAAACAAAGGTTTCTGTACCAAATATTAAGTTTCATTTTTCTGGTGTATCAAATACTTATTTCACACAATAAAATGGAAATTAATTATTTAAAAATCATACATTGTATTTTTCTGGATTTTTGTTTTAGATTCCATCACTCACAGTTGAAGAGTACCTATGATAAAAATTACAGTCATCTACAAGCTTTGCAAGTGGGAAAACCTGAAAAATCAACAGTCTATCAAATACTTGTTCTCTCCACTGTAGCTGTGGCGGCCATCTTTAGGTAACTGATGCAACTGATTGAACAATTGGAATCATCACAATCAGTTGCAGATGTCTGCAGTGATCAAGAAAGTTCTGTTACCCTAATTCACCATATTTTGCTAACAGACAAACAGATTTTTAGCTAAAACATCGTCTCTGCTTCACCTTTCTGGCGGCGGGCGATAACTTCACTGCCTGACCGAACAGAACCAGTCCTGGACTTGTCACAGCGGCACGAGGAGCACAACCTCTTGTTCTGGCACAAGTAGCACTGTGGCGTAGCGTGTGTGGCAGCAGACCCATTAACACCACGAGGTGCTTTGCAGACTCCGGACTGGACACTGGCACATGGTCTTCATCGTTTGGTTCAAACGTTTACAGAAAAACAAAAAGGATGAAGAAGAGGAAGGCAGCAGGACCTGATGACATGCAGTGGAGGTTTGGAAATGTCTTGGAGAGATGGCAGTGACGTTTTTGACTCAAATATTCAAAGGTATGTTTGAGGGTGAGAAAAAGAACAAGGTGATGTTGAGTTGTAGCAACTGCAGGGATTTTTTTCATTCATTCAACTTTATTTAGACAGACATGGAGCCTAGAAGACTCTTTTATGAGTGAGATCTGTTCAGACAGACAGAAAGTAATGAAACTGGACACATGTAGGAATTGGAGGTGAAAAAATTCCCATCAGACTTTTTTTTTCCTGCCTGAGAAGAAAAACTGATATTAAAAAACACCTCGCACAAACAAGCACATAGTGACGTAAACAGACGGGGGGAGACGATGAGAGCGGTGAGCATGTCCATGGACGCTCTCGAGGTCACTGTAAGAGTTCTGATAAAGATGGAATAATCAGCCAGTTTCCTCCAGTGAGATCCGTAAACATTCTCGAGGGATGTCGGGGAATGGCCAAGGACAACATCTATGAGAATCCAAGAGTCCTGAAATGATGACACAATGTTTATTCAGCTGGTTTCCTCTGGTTATCATTTGGAAATTACTCGATGGGAGGGGGCGGGGCAGAGCGTCAGATCACATGTTGTTCTCCTGGCCACTTCAGATAAGATGGCCTTCAAGGCCAGCCAGGGAGCCAAATTCAGAT